CTCCTCCCTTTCAGTCTTGCTCAGGTGTACCGGCTCCTCCCCTCCAGTCTTGCTCAGGTGTACCAGCTCCTCCCCTCCAGTCTTGCTCAGGTGTACTGGCTCCTCCCCCCTTCATTCTTGCACAGGTGTACTGGCTCCTCCCCTTCAGTCTTGCACAGGTGTACAGGCTCCTCCCCTTCAGTCTTGCACAGGTGTATCGGCTCCTCCCCTTCAGTCTTGCACAGGTGTACCAGCTCCTCCCCTTCAGTCTTGCAAAGGTGTACCAGGTCCTCCCCTTCAGTCTTGCACAGGTGTACTGGCTCCTCCCCTCCAGTCCTGCACAGGTGTACCGCCTCCTCCCCTTCTGTCTTGCACAGGTGTACTGGCTCCTCCCCTTCAGTCTTGCACAGGTGTAGCAGCTCTGTCCTCCCCTCCAGTCTTGCACAGGTGTACTGGCTCCTCCCCTTCAGTCTTGCACAGCAGCTCCTCCCCTCCAGTCTTGCACAGGTGTACTGGCTCCTCCCCTTCAGTCTTGCAAAGTGTATCGGCTCCTCCCCTTCTGTCTTGCACAGGTGTACCTGCTCCTCCCCTTCAGTCTTGCACAGGTGTACCGGCTCCTCCCCTCCAGTCTTGCACAGGTGTACTGGCTCCTCCCCTTCAGTCTTGCACAGGTGTACTGGCTCCTCCCCTTCACTCTTGCACAGGTGTACTGGCTCCTCCCCTTCAGTCTTGCACAGGTGTAGCGGCTCCTCTCCTTCAGTCTTGCACAGGTGTAGCGGCTCCTCCCTTTCAGTCTTGCACAGGTGTAGCTGCTCCTCCCCTTCAGTCTTGCACAGGTGTACTGGCTCCTCCCTTTCAGTCTTGCACAGGTGTACCGGCTCCTCCCCTTCAGTCTTGCACAGGTGTACCGGCTCCTTCTCTTCAGTCTTGCGCTGGTGTACTGGCTCCTCCCTTTCAGTCTTGCACAGGTGTAGCGGCTCCTCCCATTCAGTCTTGCACAGGTGTACAGGCCCCTCCTTTTCAGTCTTGCACAGGTGTAGCGGCTCCTCCCCTTCACTCTTGCCCAGGTGTACTGGCTCCTCCCCTTCAGTCTTGCTCAGGTGTACTGGCTACACCCCATTGTGTCCACGCAGGAAAAACTATAGTCATCACTGGGTCGTTTGTACTTCTGTATGCAATGCAGGCAGATCATGGCTGGTGGGAGGGGTGGGCAGCTTCCTGAAGACATCACATTCTGGATCCGGGAGGTCTCTTGTGTGGCAGCAGAACGCTCAGATTCCACTTCGCTCCAAAGTTGTCTCCAAAATCAGTAAAATTGAATTTGTTTGTAATCCCTCCAAATCCTCGGTGAGGTGACCGGCCTCAGGTGATACACAGGGATGAAACAAACCCTCATAAGTTGTACCTGTTTATCTGCAGCCCTCTCTCCTCCACCTTCTACAGTGTCTGATGTCACTCTGATGTAGTTACTGGGGGATCTATTGTTGTAAGAGTGTCTTATATTGCTGGGGGGGTGTCTTATGTTGCTGTGATGGATCTACTGTTGTGGGTAGGATGTACTGTTGCTGGCTTCTGGAGCATCTGTTGATCCTGGCTGCTGGGAGATCTATTGTTGCTGCAGGTTTATATTATTGATGGGGGATATATTGTTGCTATGAGGTCTTTTGTTACTGCAGTGGATCTATTGTTACTAGGAGGTCTATTGTTACTGCAGTGGATCTATTGTTACTGAGGAGTATTTTGTTGAGGGGTTATTTTTGCTGGGGAAAACTATTGTTGCTTTGGGGGGGTAGTATTGTTGCTGGGGGATCTATTGCTGCTAGGGGGAATTTTGTTGTGGGGTTTATAGTTTCTGAGGGAAACTACTGTTGCTGAGGGGTCTGTTGTTGCTGGGGTGAATCTATTGTTACTAGGGGGTACTATGTTGTAGGAGGTCTATTGTTGCTGGGAAAACTGTTGTTGTTGGGGGGATTTATTGTTTCTAGGGGGTATTTAGTTATAAGGGGGGGTGTCTATTTTTGCTGGGGGAAACTACTTTTGTTGGGGGAAGTCTATTTTTGCTTGGGGGGGGGAGTTACTGGGGTTCTATTTTTTGGGGGGGGGGGATCTATTGCTGGTTGCGGGGGATCTATTTTACTGCTTTTCTGATTATCATTAACAAATTCCATAAATTACTTGGCACAACAAAATGATGGTTCTGTACTCTCTAAAAGGGAAGGTGGGAAGGGGGAGGAACCAAGGTACGGTGCTCAGAGGTGGGTAGGGGGAGGAACCAAGGGACGGTGCTCAGAGGTGGGTAGGGGGAGGAACCAAGGGACAGTGCTCAGAGGTGGGAAGGGGGAGGAACCAAGGTACGGTGCTCAGAGGTGGGTAGGGGGAGGAACCAAGGTACGGTGCTCAGAGGTGGGTAGGGGGAGGAACCAAGGGACGGTGCTCAGAGGTGGGTAGGGGGAGGAACCAAGGGACAGTGCTCGGAGGTGGGTAGGGGGAGGAACCAAGGGACAGTGCTCGGAGGTGGGTAGGGGGAGGAACCAAGGGACAGTGTTCGGAGGTGGGAAGGGGGAGGAACCAAGGGACAGTACTTGGAGGTGGGTAGGTGGAGGAACCAAGGGACAGTGTTCGGAGGTGGGTAGGGAGTGGATCCAAGGGACAGTACTCGGAGGTGGGAAGGGGGAGAAACCAAGGGACAGTACTCGGAGGTGGGTAGGGGGTGGATCCATGGGACAGTACTCGGAGATGGGTAGGAGGGAGGAACCAAGGGACAGTGCTCAGAGGTGGTTAGGGGGAGGAACCAAGGGACAGTTCTGAGAGGTAGGTAAGGGGTGGAACCAAGGGACGGTGCTCAGAGGTGGGTAGGAGGTGAATTCAAAACACAGTGCTCGGAGGTGGAACCCCAGGACAGTGCTCAGAGGTGGGTAGGGGGGAGGAATCACGGGACAGTGCTCAGAGGTGGGTAGGGGGTGGAACCAAGGGACAGTTCTCGGAGGTAGGTAGGGGGAGGAACCACGGGACAGTGCTCAGAGGTGGAACAGTAGGGGGTGAGGGACAGTTCTCGGAGGTGGGTAGGGGGAGGAACCAAGGGACGGTGCTCAGAGATGGGTAGGGGGTGGAACCAAGGGACGGTGCTCAGAGGTGGGTAGGGGGTGGAACCAAGGGACAGTGCTCAGAGGTGGGTTTCCGGGGTTGGAACTAAGGGACGGTGCTCAGAGGTGGGTAGGGGGTGAACCACGGGACAATGCTCAGAGGTGGGTAGGGGGTGGAACTCAAGGGAGCGTGCTCAGAGGTGGTTAGGGGAGGAACCAAGGAACCTCAGAGGGACCAGTTCTCAGAGGTGGGGGGTGGAACAAAGGGACGGTGCTCAGAGGTAGATAGGGCAAGGAACCAAGGGACGGTGCCAGAGGTGGGTAGGGGGTGGAACAAGGGACGGTGATCAGAGGTAGATAGGGGAGGAACCAAGGGACGGTGCTCAGAGGTTTGTAAGGATTCCAAGGGACGGTGCTCAGTGGGTAGGGGGTGGAACGGCGACGGTGCTCAGAGGTGGGTAGGGGGTGGGAACTAAAAACGGTGCTCAGAGGTGGGTAGGGGGTGGAACCACGGGACAATTTTCCGGTAGGGGGTGGAACCCCTAGGGACAGTGCTCAGAGGTTCAGGTTCAGAGGATAGGGACCAAGAGGTAGATGGCAGGAGGTGGGTAGAGGGGGAACAGACACCAGGTAGATAGGGCGAGGAACCAAGGACGGTGGTAGATAGGGGGAGGAACCAAGGGGACGGTGCTCAGAGGTTGGTATGGGCGGTGATCGAGGAACCGGAAGGGACGGTGCTCAGAGGTGGGGTAGGGGGGAGGAACAAGGGACGGTGCTCAGACAGGTAAAAGGAGGGACGTGCCGAGGGACGGCAATCAGAGGCAGTAGGGAGGAGGGACCTCAGAGGTGTGGGACTAAGGGACGGTGCTCAGAGGTGGGTAAGGGGGGGGGGTGGAACCAAGGACGGTGATCAAGGCAGCCGGGGGAGGAACCATGCGCGTCTCAGAGGTAGGTAGGGGGAGGAAACCAAGGGACGGTGAAAGAGGTCGGTAGGGGGGAGGAACCACGGGACGTGCTCAGAGGTATGTTATATCGATGGCAGGTCGGAGGTGGATTCAAGCCACACATTTAGAGGGATGTCTTTGTTCATATTTCACGTTGGAGGTCGGGGAGGTCAGAGGTCAGAGTGTTTCATTGGTTGGCCAGCAAAGCAAAAATCATTTCCGAGGGATGGCATTGACAGTTTTCCGCACAGCCATGACTGGTGCTCTTGGAGCGTTTCCTGCGCCCCCCCCCTGGCCGGTCCCGTCTCATGGCGGGTAATATTATGCCATTACATTTACCATTTATTTCCCCCCCAGAAATAGAGAGATTGTTTTGTTTAATACATTCCCGGCGCGGCGACATTAAAAACGTGTTTTCCGTCTTCCATCCCCTTCGGCTTTTCTGGAATCACATTGTTATCCCCTTTGAAATGTAAAAACATCGAAGCTTCAAACAATTATTGTGACGGTCAAAAGGCGCCGAGGAAGGCAATCAGTGTGCAGCGCGATCCTCCTTGTGTCAGGGAATACGGCGTCCGCCGCGCCGCGCGTCTCTTCCGCAGGCGGAAAACAAAGCATGAAATCGGTTTCTCTGTGACGCCGAGTAAACGGAATGTTAATATCGATGTTTCTCGGCACGCGACACATTTCTATTCTTCCTTTCCATTCCACGGAGAAAACGTTATGGGGATCGGAGGCGAGCGCAGAGATCATCCAGCATGCTGGGCAGTGTTCGCCAATCATGTCCGATTACTTTTGTCCCGCCCACAAATGGCCCAACTCTGATCCCATCTCCTTATCGACCTCATCAATAACTGCCATTTTTTATCTTTTATACACTATAGTGCCAAAAGTATCATCCCCCCCCCTGATCATCAGGTCCCCAATCCCCTCCCAATCATGTGATTCAGGTGTTCCAATCCCCTCCATATCATGTGATTCAGGTGTTCCAATCCCCTCCATATCATGTGATTCAGGTGTTCCAATCCCCTCCCATATCATGTGATTCAGGTGTTCCAATCCCCTCCATATCATGTGATTCAGGTGTTCCAATCCCCTCCATATCATGTGATTCAGGTGTTCCAATCCCCTCCATATCATGTGATTCAGGTGTTCCAATCCCCTCCATATCATTGTGATTCAGGTGTTCCAATGACCTCTACATATCATGTGATTCAGGTGTTCCAATCCCCTCCCAATATCATGTGATTCAGGTGTTCCAATCCCCTCTATATCATTGGATTCAGGTGTTCCAATGACCTACATATCATGTGATTCAGGTGTTCCAATCCCATCCCAATCATGTGATTCAGGTCTTCCAATCCCCTCCAAATCATGTGATTCAGGTGTTCCAATCCCCTCCATATCATGTGATTCAGGTGTCCAATCCCCTCCATATCATGTGATTCAGGTGTCCAATCCCCTCCATATCATGTGATTCAGGTGTTCCAATCCCCTCCATATCATGTGATTCAGGTGTTCCAATCCCTCTCCAAATCATGTGATTCAGGTGTTCCAATCCCCTCCATATCATGTGATTCAGGTGTTCCAATCCCCTCCATATCATGTGATTCAGGTGTTCCAATCCCCTCCATACCATGTGATTCAGGTGTCCAATCCCCTCCATATCATGTGATTCAGGTGTTCCAATCCCCTCCATATCATGTGATTTCACCTCCATATCATGTGATTCAGGTGTTCCAATCCCCTCCAATCATGTGATTCAGGTGTTCCAATCCCCTCCATATCATGTGATTCAGGTGTTCCAATCCCCTCCATATCATGTGATTCAGGTGTTCCAATCCCCTCCATATCATGTGATTCAGGTGTTCCAATCCCTCCATATCATGTGATTCAGGTGTTCCAATCCCCTCCATACCATGTGATTCAGGTGATCCAATCCCCTCCATATCATGTGAAATCAGGTTGCGTATTTTGATGCGCACAAAAATGCGTGCTTGCAGTGCCATTGACAATAAAGCGCAACACAAAATTTTACACGATCTGTGAAGACGCATAAAATGCGTACTTTTGCACCTTTTTTATTTAATGGGCCCGCGCATGTTGATGGAACGCTCGGATTCGGATGGAGCCCGATCAAGAAATCGGCCTTATGGGGGAAACGGATCTCATTAGTACGAACTGTAAATAAGCGGCGGCGTTTCCGCGACATAAGGCGCTCTGATAAATGGGAGCGGCGGCGTTCACGCATCATCTAGCTTCCGACACAATGTCACTTCCTATCACACACACCATTGTGCGCGCCGCCATTAACCACGCTAAACTTTGCTGGGAGGGGTAATGAGGCGTGCGCAATAAGTGGCGAATAACGGAAATTGTACCAGAAGCGTCTCGCGGGCGCCGGCCACAAATGCTGCCAGTGACAAACATCGCCTCTCCGCGGGATAACGAGCGCCATTAACATTTAGGATCCGTCATATTAACTGCGCCACTTTGTGTCTGGAACGGCGGCGGAAATTGAAATCCAGATCCGAAGAACGCGGAATACAATTGTAATTATTGTTATAGACATAAAATTAATAATAGATAATAAACGCCGTGCGGGGACTCCTCTCTATAACGCACAGATTAGCGCAGACTCCAAGTGGACGCCATCGAGGACGCGCCTCAACCGCACTTGAAGGGAAACAATTATCGCGGATTTTTACTGACAATTTACTGACATGATTGAGTGCTTATATGCTAATGTCAGGTTCTCTGGATAGAACGACTTTAACCTCTTCATGCCGAACAGACACAAATATGCGGCCTCTCATTGGTTGGGCCTTGACGCCGAGCGGGCGCATATTAGCGTACCATTTGTAAACAAACATGTGCTGAGAGCGTGCGCCCTGCTGCACACTCCCAGCACGTGTCGGCGTCCCACGGAAAAGTCCCGATCTCTCCTTGTGATTGGGACCTTTGCGATCATGTGACAGCCAATCACGGCAATCACATGTCCCCAAACCCCGCCTCCCAGCGTCAGAAACTCTTTAAAGGGTCGGGAGCAGGGGAGGACTGATCATTTGGAAATTCGGGCACTGCCCGAGGGCCCGGGGTCAGTAGGGGGCCCCATGAGATGCCCCCTGGTACCTTTTTCATAGGCTTTTTTGAGTTTGGGCAAGGACACAGGGGCCCCATGATCCCTATTGCCCGGGGGCCCCATGAGTTGTCAGTGCGCCGGGATGAAGGGGTTAAGGGCCAGTTCACACTCCATGTGTTTCAGTTGCTTTTTTTCTGCATCCAGAAACGTAGGTGATAGGGCTGTCAGCGTCGTAGTTCACACCAGCGCTTGCAGTACCAGCGCGTTCCGGATGCAAAAAAAAAAAAAGAACAGGCTGCATGTTTCCTGCACAGGACTGTACTGGAACGCGGTAAAAAAAAGCATCAAAAATACACCGGAACGCACCAAAAACACACTAGAATGCAAAAACGCATTGGAACGCACATGTCCCTGTTTAAGTTGAAGAAAAAGAGAGGGGAAACAATTAACTGGAATGCATAAAAATGCACTGAAACGCGTCAAAAAGGCGCATGTGGAAACGCATCCGTAACGTATCTGGACTGTGTTTCTCAATGTTATTCATGGATGTTGTCTCCGTATCCCTGCAATGTGTGATTGTGGATCGGGGGGGACGATTCCGGGTCTATTTGTTTAAAAAAAAAAAAAGTATTGGTTTGTTCATCGAATATGAACATTTATTCTGTGTGATTTTGAGGAAAATCAATTGTTCTTCAGCCGGGTTCACACTGCTGCGGAGCGGGATTCTCAGCGTTTTCAGTACAAATTCCGCACCGCATCAGAATCGCTCCCCGTTCATGCGAACCGCTGCGGGTGTGAATGTTAACAACACCCCGAAATCGGACCGCAAAAACGCAGTGCGATGTGCAGAATTGGGTCTCATAGGTGTGAATACCCGTGCGATCCGATTCTAGTGCGGGCCAAAAAAGGGTCCTGCGTGTTTTTGGTGCGATTAGAGCCATACAAAATGTACGACTCCGATCGCCCCGCACACAAATCGCATGTGATCAGCAGGGAATGCGGTGCGGTTCCTGAATCGCATGCGATATACTGCACCGCATATATGTGAACCCGGACTTAACGATAATCCCGGGTTCACACGGATGCGGTGCGGAATTTGCAGCGTTTTCTGTGTGAATTCCGCACCGCATCAGAATCGCCCCCCGTTCATGCGAACCGCTGCGGGTGTGAATGTTAACAACACCCCAAAATTGGTCCGCAAAACGCAGTGCGATGTGCAGAATCGGATCACATAGGTGTGAATACCAGTGCGATCCGATTCTAGTGCCGACCCAAAAAATGGGTCCTGCGTGTTTTTGGTGTGATTAGAGCCATACACAATGTACAGCTCCGATCGCACCGCACACACATCACATGTGATTGGCAGGGAATGCGGTGCGGTTCTGTGTGAATCACATGGGATATACCGCACCGCATGTATGTGAACCCGGGCTTAGGCTGTTTTCTCTTCTGAAAGAATGTTCTTTTTTTTTATTATGGGCAGTAGTAACATTCTGTATTGTGGCCACTAGTTGGAGCTGAAGACCACAGGAAATAAATACAACTTTTTTTCGTAACAATAGATACAATGTAACAATTCTGGAGAATGCTAGAGGGAATAATCAGATAAATGTAGCCAATGGGAAGACGCTGGAGGGAATAATCAGATAAATGTAGCCAATGGGAAGACGCTGGAGGGAATAATCAGATAAATGTAGCCAATGGGAAGACGCTGGAGGGAATAATCAGATAAATGTAACCAATGGGAAGACGCTGGAGGGAGTAATCAGATAAATGTAACCAATGGGAAAACGCTGGAGGGAATAATCAGGTAAATGTAACCAATGGGAAGACACTGGAGGGAATAATCAGGTAAATGTAACCAATGGGAAGACGCTAGAGGGAATAATCAGATATATTAACCAATGGGAAGACACTGAAGGGAATAATCAGGTAAATGTAACCAATGGGAAGACGCTGGAGGGAATAATCAGGTAAATGTAACCAATGGAAAGACGCTGGAGGGAATATTCAGGTAAATGTAACCAATGGGAAGACGCTGGAGGGAATAATCAGATAAATGTAACCAATGGGAAGACGCTGGAGGGAATAATCAGATATATTAACCAATGGGAAGACGCTGGAGGGAATAATCAGGTAAATGTAACCAATGGGAAGACGCTGGAGGGAATAATCAGGTAAATGTAACCAATGGAAAGACGCTGGAGGGAATATTCAGGTAAATGTAACCAATGGGAAGACGCTGGAGGGAATAATCAGATAAATGTAACCAATGGGAAGACGCTGGAGGGAATAATCAGATATATTAACCAATGGGAAGACGCTGGAGGGAGTAATCAGATAAATGTAACCAATGGGAAGATGCTGGAGGGAATAATCAGGTAAATGTAACCAATGGGAAGACACTGGAGGGAATAATCAGGTAAATGTAACCAATGGGAAGACGCTAGAGGGAATAATCAGATATATTAACCAATGGGAAGACGCTGGAGGGAATAATCAGGTAAATGTAACCTATGGGAAGATGCTGGAGGGAATAATCAGATATATTAACCAATGGGAAGACGCTGGAGGGAATAATCAGGTAAATGTAACCAATGGGAAGACACTGGAGGGAATAATCAGGTAAATGTAACCAATGGGAAGACGCTAGAGGGAATAATCAGATATATTAACCAATGGGAAGACGCTGGAGGGAATAATCAGGTAAATGTAACCAATGGGAAGACGCTGGAGGGAATAATCAGATAAATGTAACCAATGGGAAGACGCTGGAGGGGAGTAATCAGATAAATGTAACCAATGGGAAGATGCTGGAGGGAATAATCAGATATATTAACCAATGGGAAGACGCTGGAGGGAATAATCAGGTAAATGTAACCAATGGGAAGACGCTGGAGGGAATAATCAGATAAATGTAACCAATGGGAAGACGCTGGAGGGAATAATCAGGTAAATGTAACCAATGGGAAGACGCTGGAGGGAATAATCAGGTAAATGTAACCAATGGGAAGACGCTGGAGGGAATAATCAGAATAAATGTAACCAATGGGAAGACGCTGGAGGGAGTAATCAGATAAATGTAACCAATGGGAAGATGCTGGAGGGAATAATCAGATATATTAACCAATGGGAAGACGCTGGAGGGAATAATCAGATAAATGTAACCAATGGGAAGACGCTGGAGGGAATAATCAGATAAATGTAACCAATGGGAAGACGCTGGAGGGAGTAATCAGATAAATGTAACCAATGGGAAGACGCTGGAGGGAATAATCAGATAAATGTAACCAATGGGAAGACGCTGGAGGGAACAATCAGGTAAATGTAGCCAATGGGAAGACGCTGGAGGGAACAATCAGGTAAATGTAGCCAATGGGAAGACGCTGGAGGGAATAATCAGATATATTTAACCAATGGGAAGACGCTGGAGGGAATAATCAGGTAAATGTAACCAATGGGAAGACGCTGGAGGGAAAAAATCAGATAAATGTAACCAATGGGAAGACGCTAGAAGGAATAATCAGGTAAATGTAACCAATGGGAAGACGCTGGAGGGAATAATCAGGTAAATATAGCCAATGGGAAGACGCTGGAGGGAATAATCAGATAAATGTAGCCAATGGGAAGACGCTGGAGGGAATAATCAGATAAATGTAGCCAATGGGAAGACGCTGGAGGGAATAATCAGGTAAATATAGCCAATGGGAAGACGCTGGAGGGAATAATCAGATAAATGTAGCCAATGGGAAGACGCTAGAAGGAATAATCAGGTAAATGTAACCAATGGGAAGACGCTGGAGGGA